GGCGCGAAATGTGACTAATTTCGTTGTAGCTTATTGGAAATGTTACGTTGATCCGTCATGATGATGAAATATTTCTTGTAGGTTAAATGTACCGAAATAAATTTTTCAACTTTTATTAAATTCAACAAATGTGTAAAGAAACACGCCATGGACATATTACAATGAGTTTTATTTTATTGATACCCTTAATACATTTATAATATGAATAGACACGTTAGAAACACCACAGCTTTTTTCAAAAACTCTTGATAGTGAACGTTTATTGTACTATATAATTGATAATTAATTGATAACTAGGGAAAAACGAAGCATGCTTCTGATATATTTCATTAGGAGACTTGAACTTTCGTCGCTTTAATTTCTTCTGTTGCAATCATATGATTTTAATTTAACAAGAATGATAGTCATTGGTCTATTATAAGGATTGATTTTTACGTAAATTCGACAATCCTCAACTTAGAACAGACATCGCCGTCGCCAGTCTCGTATTGGCGTGACAAAATAAAGAAATGTATTGCACGCCACGGGTTTTGAGAAAAACTCACTTGCCGCATTAATTAGTAAAGACAATAAAATCTCGTGAATAATCAGGGTATCGCGTGCGCCGGTTTTACGATCGAAAATAGTGGATTAGACACGGTTTCAATACGAATCTTTATGGGCACCGCTAGTTCGGCCGGTTTGTTTGAAGTGGTTTTTTTCAACCTCTCTCTACGACCGCTTTGTACGCGGACGTGTTGTATCAAAATTGTTACATTATTGGATGTTATATCTCGAATGTCCCGAATACGGAGTCACGAATGCCGCTTCAAATACGAGTATTTCGTTTCATCGCTCAACTCTGCATCCGCTCGTGTAGTTAGACACTATTGGTCGGGGCAATGTTGTTTGGTTTACATTTCATGTCTATCCTACCATCAGGACTGACGAAATCTACTAAACAATCACGAATGGGCAGTCCATTTTCCATTTATACTCTTGAGTTTCGTCTGGTGAGTGAGTTAGTCGGGGCCCAACTTCATTAAAATGGTGGCGACGCATCTGCAGCCATGGGTTTTGCAAATGTCAATGAACAGCGGTTCTCGCACTCACCCGACGAAACGCAGAAGTATGACACTGGTCGTAGTCAGCATCGACAACTAGTTGGCCGTCAGAAGCGCGTCTATCGGATGGCCTTGAAACTCTTCGACAACCGCAAGCTTTTGCAGGATACGATACATCGAAATTATACTAAAAACTGACATCCGTTTTTCTATCTCGTTCGGTGCGCACCTACCCTTTACTGCTGCCTATGAAAATTTCACGCACAGCTAGACTACGGGAGGAATCAGTTGTGGTTTTATGCAATTACGTTATTGTTGGGCCCGTTATGGTAATAGCGGCGCGGCCATTGAGTGTGGAGCTCTATTATGGTGGTCGAGATAACAGCTCCTGCTGCGTTCACCTTGAGCGCAGCCCGTAGTTAGGCGATGTGGGACCTTTTTGCATTTCGCGCCGCGCGTTCGACGCGTAACAATTTTGCGTACAAACCGAACTATTTGAAGTATCGCAAAACGATGTGTTAGTACATTGAATCCCGGATGGATGACGGATTTTAATTGCGGTGTTGTCAACTGTAATCGTATCGCAGACGCCTCAGTTTATTGAAGACAATTACGACGGTCGATGTGGCAAAATTAGGGGAGAGCGTATAAAAGATTGGTCGAATAAGTCTGTTTTTTATGCGAGAAGGTGGCAAATGAGCTGGCAGTTCACCTGATGTAAAGTGAGAGCGATAACCGGCGCAAACTTTGTTGGACGGTGGCACCGCATTTGTAACCCGGGTGTTGTAAATGTCCATGGGCGGCGTTAATCACTTTAAACCATGTCGACCATCAGTTCGCATGCCTTCTTCTTACATAAACGAACACACAGAAAAAAATATGCATGGTCGAATTGAGAAAACCGCTTCCTATTTTGAAGTCGGTTAAAAGGGTGAACGAATTGTTACACTTCCCTTCCACTATTCCTCATTGCTCAATATAAACGCGCGTTACGCTACAATTATGAGTCGCGCCGAGGAGCAAAGTGCAAACCAATTGTACACCGGTCCTTATAATTGCGATCGTACATTGTACGTCTGGATCAAGGAAAAATGTAACTGGTAGTCGCCGGTCCCTAGGAACAGTTTTTATTAATGTAAAAAGTAGTCGCGCGAGCTAGCGGTTCGCCTGATATTGACAAACGGTGTGGTATTCGTGATTATTCCCATGGATATCTACACCACCTGATTGCACGCTGATACGTTGACAGCTTCCAAAAAGTGGGCCCCGGTCACCTCACTCATCAGACGAAACGCAGAAGTATTACACTTCCACTTCGAAACGCGAAAGTTTAGTACTTCGATTTCATGCCGGTATTCTGTGAGTCCGTGTTAATTCCCCGGACGAGTCTGCCCACTCGTGCAACAGCAGAATGCGTGGCTCTACCACAGTAAACCTTAGTCTTCATAACTTATTTTTTTTTTGTGAAAAGGTGGCAAGCGAGCTGGCAACTCACCTACCAGTTAGTCTTCAATTCGTTAAAACCCCCTCAAATGTTATGCCAACTGCTACAAAGTGGGAAGCTGTTGGTTCTTTGTGCGTGTCTGCTGTCGAAACAGAGGTTGTCGAAACGTTACGTTATTACTGGTGTCTTTTAGTTAGTAAGTTCGTTTAAATACTATATAAAACATGTCGGTTGCAACCCAAAGTATTATATTTTTTATTTAACAACCACGGTCCGTCATTCTGATGTCTGAAAATTCTAAACTAGAGTAAACAAAGTTCATGCAGCCTATGGTTTAATTGCTGTCAAGGACCTTTTATTCACAGAATGGGAAGATTTAGGGCTGAGACGTCGAAAACACGGCGTGGGAGACGAGTCCATAAACAATGGCAAACGAACTTCGTTCCAAATCCAAAAGTCCAGTGAAGCGATCACTAGGGCTGTCTCTAATGAATACTTAATAGTATTTTATGGGCTCACAATTATTTATGGGGTTTTTCATGCGTTCACATGAGCCGCTCGTTTCGGATCAGCGGCCACGGCGCACTCCACACCATTCACGTGAACTTGTTCTATAAAAGAACGATACCGAGCATTCGTTCAACGTCATTCATATGAACGAAAGAACTACGATACTGGTAAATTTATTCGAGCTCCTCATTTGTTGAAATTCTAAGGTATTTTACGAGTAATTCTATTTTGTTCTTGTGGTTTAGCTCAACAGCTCGAAAGTTTCTATTGTTGCAAGAATGGGTAGGTTCGCGCGCCAAGTAACACAGCTATACAGGACTGACGTAAAACTAAAGTAAAGCCACCTTTAAATGAAGTGGGCCGCGGTTACCTCACTCACCAGACGAAACGTAGAAGTGTAACACTTCTACTTTACGCCGGTCTTCTGTGAGGTCATGGTGTTAATTGCCAAACTGCACGGAGAGATCAAACGGTGTGTAAATGCGGCGTTCTCTCGTAGTATCGGGGTTGGTTTCTGCGCCTGAATTTAACCAAACACAACCAAATCATTCTCGAAAAACCAAAAACGGTCTCGAAAAACCAAAATCAGCTTCCGTTAGGGGTGGGAATAATCGATAAAACTATTGCTGAAAAATTAAAACGTGAACTCAGCCGGTTTCTCTGTCTATCTACGGATAGATTTGGTTACTAGCGATATATATTTGACATTAGCTCCATTAAAATTTGTAGAAAAAGCACGAAAAGATTGTCGCCGCTGTGGGAATCGAACCAACGTCTTCAGCATTCGCGGCCAGACGCTTTAGTCACTAAGCTAAACGGCTGACTGCCGCACCGACGAAAATCTTAACGTTTTTTATCTACATCGTTTTAGCTCCATATTAGTAACTTCAAAATCTCTCCAGTAACCAAATATATCAGTTGATAGAATATTGAAACCGTTTTGAAAAGGTTTTCTGACATCTCACGGAATGATTATAAACAACTTTCTTAAGACAAATTTTGGTGAATACTAAAAAATAATTAAACTACTGACTCGTGTGCTTGTTACATTCATTGTTTTTGATTAGTAACAACGTTATTAATACATTCGAACTATAATTTTTAAATTCATACATTTCGCTTTGTTTATGTCGATGGTTTTTCACACTCTTATTATCATATAGGTCGGATATAATTCATTGTAATATAATATTAATATCATTCGGTATAGGTCGGAGTTTTTCATTTGTTCATTGTTTTAATTAACAATGTCTACCATACTGTACCTATAAACTTGCACGGTATAAATCTTATCGACGATTGATCATCTCTCGCCTTTTAGTAGGAATCACTAATTTTCATACAAAGTTTATAAACATAATTGATAACTTTTGTATTGTACCTCTTCAAAAAGCCACAGCATACATATTTTCTGGATCGGCAAGAGAAGGCCCGACCGGATCTGTCAAGAAAAGCCTAATCTAAACTAATGGTATAGTTACGCAGAGGACACACCTAGTATGTAAACACAAATTACTTATAACTTTTCTAGATTCTGTCACATCTCTTTCACCTCGTATATCCATTTACATTATACGCATTCATGTTCATTGAAGGTACTAACCTTCAAAGTACTTTGTTTACTGCAAACTAGTCATTGTCCTTCCCATAACCCATTCACATTGTTCCCATAACCTTATGTCATTGAATGAAGTGTTTTACAGTTTTCATCAATACGTGTACAAATGTATTATACCATAATTATTTTACATCCAAATTCTATGAACAGATCTGTCAAACTTAACGCGACATCAAAATTAAAAATAACCACGGAATTGAGTCTTCACGTACTATATAAGTAAAGCGGTCGGCGCTCAATAATTTTCAATAAAAATTTACACCAATTAGTTGGCCCTAAACATTATTATTACCGTCCGAGAGCAATCAACGCGCACATAAACAAACAAAAACAATAACGGAGAGCAAAACTATTTGACCCGACCTTACACAGGCGCCGTCGAAAGATGCGCACCAGAAGGACTCGCGGGAGCGAGATGGAGACACGGGGTCCATCCTTAGCGCGACAGAGACGGCCGACGCGGTAATTAACACAAAGATCTCGCCGAAAAGGCTTTTTTTTTTTCATCGCGTTTCAATTCTCCGGGGTCATTTGTTTTAATGTTTCAACTTTTCCCGGGTCGATCCGGTAAGAAATTGCCCGTGAATGGATAGCGGCGGACCGGTGCCCAATTAGACTTTTTTCTAATCGAATAAAAGCCGCGGCGTATAAGGGAATACGGTAAATTTACGTCCGTTGACCTTTGGACCAGCGTGTTGGCATATGGCGTTGGCAGAATAGGAGAAATGCCATCGTTCAATCGATTTACGCTTAATTACTAATTTTTCCAACGCTTACACATTAAAGGTTGCATTGCAAAGTTCAATGGCTCCTTAACAATTGAATACATAAATCATCTTTCACGTTCATGATGCACAATGTCACAGGATGATAGAAAATTTGGGACTTGGACGAAATCTACTATAAATATACATAATAGTAAAGTCATACAACCGCTGAAACGTTTATTGGCATCTAAACGTCTTCTTGAATCACGAAATTCTAAAATTTAGGTACTTAACTAATGATTCATAACTATTTTTTAAGTCTTTGCATCGCGTTGAAATTTTGATTTTTACTTGCTGAGGTTTACTACGCCAGGAAATACGGTCATTAAAACAAACTTAAGTGTTTTGGATTGTTGGTGTCGCGCTTAACCTGACGTTTTTTTGGCTTAAATAGCAGATTCTAATCAACTAAAGTTAATGGATTAGTTGCTTAGGTTACCTCATCATCGTCATCATCATTTCAGCCTGTTTAAGTCCACCGCTGAACATAGGCCTCCCCCACAGACTGCCAGGAAGCACGATCCTGAGCCACCTGCATCCATTCACTTCCCGCACATTTGCACTGGTCGTCACTCGATCTAGTGGGTCTAGCGAAGGTTACCTCACCTTCGCTAAACATAATAAAAGTTAAGAAAAGGAACTATCTGACAGTACATTAGAATATTGTCGAGGCTCGATTCGGTTCGAACGGGCTACAAATTCCATTGGATGGGCACACGCGCTGCGCCAGCCTCGCCTCGGTATAAGTCCAGTTCATTGGATCAATTGACCGTGTCGGCGGCTAAATTGTTTTCCAGAAAACTCACAATACCGAACGAACTCCGCTGACCCCGTGGGAGTGGGCGGGCGCCTTGCGATGTCTCTAATTCTTTTTTTTTTTCTCGTTCTCTCCTCTTCTCTACCTACGACCGACCGTTACGGACGACCGGCCAAAGTAGTTATGTGCAGCGAACTGACTTTTCCTTAGTATGCGTTTATACTCTATGCGATTGATGCGTTTGTCTTATACGTATCTGAATATAATCGTTTTATTGTTTTCTGTTCGGCCTTTGAGGTATTTTTTGGGATAAATAGTAGATACATTTTTGCGCGATGGACAGCCTCATATGTAGTGTAAATTTATGTAAATCCGTCATCTTTCCCAAGTTTCAAACGTTACTGTGTGATGAGTTTTATCCACGCTCATACAATCAAGTAAACCCCATACTCAGTTTCTTTACTAAACTCTATACTTTCAAATTTAAAAACTTAATAACATCTACAAAAACTTTGTCATAAATATTAATGAGATGATCACCACGCTAATGCTGCCTAACATAAGTTTATTAAAAAAATTAGCTTTTTAGGTTACCCATATTAACCTAACCCGCTTATGTTGACATTGTAATTGTTCAACAAGAATCAAACATGAACGATACAAGTATTGGACCAAGATTGACGGTACGATGTTCGTGGTTTTGACAAACGCATTGCAATTTTAACTTAAGCTAAGCCGTGACCAAGTTCCCGCTTCAGCTATCTGCTACTTTTGAACTTGAGATAGGCAAAATGTGAGATATAGCCGGGTAATATGAACCTCAAATTTGTCGTTCCAGGCTCGACCGGCGGCGCGGCACTAGCGAGAGCGGCAGGAGGAATCCCTCAAAATTACCCGAATTCAATCGCCCAGCAGCGGACCCGGCACCCTGAGCTTCACAGATCCCTTCGGGCCTCCCCAGTCGTCGGACGGGGGGGGCCCGTCGACGCCGCAGCCCGCGATGACCACCCAGGAGGCGTTGGAGCACCAGCACCACCACCTCGGCGGCACCCAGACCCCCCACGACATCTCGAACTCGGCGAACTCGACGCCTACCAACGTGTCGTCCAAGTCCGCCTTCATCGAGCTGCAGCAGCACGGCTACGGCCCGTTCAAGGGCGGCTACCAGCACCCCCACCACTTCGGCAGCCCCGGGGGGCAGCAGAACCCCCACGAGGCATCCGGCTTCCCCAGCCCCAGGTCCTTGGGATACCCCTTCCCTCCAATGCACCAGAACACGTACGGCTATCACTTAGGCTCCTACGCTCCACAATGTGCCAGTCCACCAAAAGACGGTGAGTTTTCATGTTCATATTTTTTAATTCTTTGTGATGTTTTTTTTTTACGAGGTAGAGAAAAAAAACAGCATGTGGCTCAAAAGATTACCAACGCTTACCAAAGTTCGCAATATCAGAGCAAAGCGATCTTTTAGGTAGCATTACGGCCGGTTTCAATATTCTATCTACAGATAGACTTGGTTACTGGAAATAGAATTTTGACGTAAGTATTATGGAGCTTATGTCAAATACCTCGCTAGTAATCAAGTGGATATGTAGATTCATTATCTCTCTATTTTTTAATACTTTTATAAAATGGGCAAACGAGCAAGCGACTCACCGTCATTTCACAACACCCTAAGAGCTGGAGAGCGATCAGATTTAACAGGTCAAAGAAGAATTATGATTAACAATGAAGCTTGTATTAAAATCTCCATCTGTAACTGCAAGTATCCAATTTAAAACAAAAATTGGTAAAACCAAAAAGTAACTTATTCGACAAAGTTACGATCATATAACACCTCTTAATTTATTCATTATTCACACCTTACTATTGCGTCAACGTATTTGCCCAACGCCTCAATTGTCTTACGAAATATCTTTATTTTTTCTTTCTTTTCGAATTTGTGGCCACCCCGAAATTATGGAAGCGGTATGGAGTTATTGTAGTTTTATCCGAGGCGTGAGGCATGTAATTTTTATAATTTCCTTCCATTTTTTTCTATAAGGAATACGTGCTATTGTAATGAATATATAAAGCTCACTTATGCAATCATTGGTTTGAACAAAATTTTCGATACAACGAAGAGTATCCGAATATTATATAATAATACCTTTAATATTTATTTGGTCACAACTGATATATATTAATTTAAGTGTCTTTATGTATGACTCTTAAAGTTAAAGTATTACCTCATAATTTTTGACATTTTCGATTAAGATTTTTAGCGAATATTGCTAAATTGTTAAATTACATGGATATTCATCAACTCACCCATCGCAGTCTGTACCGTGATCATGCTGTTATACTGTGTTTTCATCATCCAGAATTAAAAATAATTAAACGGTCTAAGATCTATGTCGCTAAAAAGCGCATTAATTTAGCAATTTCGAAATTTGTAAAGAAATTGGTTCATAAATATTGCTAAAAGAAAAAACGTCAAAACAATGTCAAGAAAATAGTCGCTTTGTTCGGAAAGGCGTCATTGTTGAATCTTTAATGACGAGTCCTCACCCACCGCGCTGAACTGTCATAGATTCTTTAATGCGCCACTTAATGCATAAATCTTTTATAAAGCACATTGCTCGTATTACCTAAGTTTTATACGTTATAAATTTTTCGATTAAGATATATTAGATTGTTATTATATAACAAAGGGCATATAAACAGTTAATAATGATAATAAATATGTAATGACATATTTTTACACAATGTCATCTCATTCCAAACAAACAAAAGCTTTTACTATAGACAACTAGGTAATTAGTTATAAACACTTTAATATATTTTTTTTTGCAAATAAATACATATTATAGATATACATTTAAATAACCAAACATACTCGAAAAACACTATTTCATATCACAATTTTGTTCTCATCGTGGGAACCGAACCCGCACACCCTAACGCAAGAGACATGATTACTATCCACTACGCCCATCAGGTTAATAATGCGTACGGAGTGAAACAAGCTTTTTTTTTTAATTTTTTTTTGGGGCCCTCTTTTAAAAAGTTAGCAACACTGCAATCACATAGGTATTGTACATGTCCATAGATGGCAGTGATCGCTTAACATTAGGTTAAAAATTACAAAAAAAAAACTTAAGTTCATTTTAAGCGGTAAAACGGGATGCGACACGTCGTCGGTGAGCAACTGAGTCGTGAATCATCGCTCCTTAATCAAGGACTAATCTGAGAATTCGGGTCGGTTTAAATTGATTCGAACGCTACACCGCCCGCAATACAAAGCTATCGGGCGAGTCAGTTCGATTCGAGATAAGGTTAAGGCGTCGTACTAAAGAAAGTATGTCAAAATTTCCGATCCGAACTTAATGTTTAGCGCCCGAATCGCGGACGGCCGTAAGAAAAATAAAACGAAAAAACATTTCGACACGCGAGCGTCGGGTAAAAACGCGCATTTTTTCCCGCGCGATCCGCCAATATCGTGTGGAGGAAATTAAACCGTAAATTAATGCCTTCCGACACACGTTTCCTCCTTACCATCGAGCGCGTCAAGGTCGCTTTTCCAATGCCCGCCAGTATCATAGTTTCCCAAATGCGCCTAATGCCGTGATTTCTCCTAGTTTTCCCGTTCGCCGAAGGTCGTCCAAATACGTTGCCTATATCTTGGCCGTGTTGCCGAAATTTTTGGCGGGAAACGTTTTTGGAAGGGTTGGTTCGATTTTTGAATTCAGTAATGCCGTTTTGATCGCGTGATAAGAAATAATATGTGACTACAAGGTTATTACGCGCTTCACTGTATACTTCGCATTAAGTGACAGCTTGCACTGCGAAAGAGACATGTGTGGAGGTTGCAAAACAATTCGTACAGAAATTATAGGTTCGAAGCGGTTTGGTTGGCTTGTTTTATAACTTCATTGACTTTCGTAAAGCGCATCATGCGCCCGTGCACGCGAACTAGTTGTTTATTATTTTTTTCCGTCAAGCCAGTGACAAACACTCAAGTACTTTGAAACAAAAAAATGTATAAACATTCGATTAAGAATACAAAAGGAATACGACTAGCGTTGAATTCATTCACATTTCGACATAATGAGATCATTAGTCTATGAAATAAAAATTTTAATTTTAACTTTCTTTCCAATAAAAAAAATTTGAATAATACAAATAACAATAATTAAGATAGGATTCAGTTAAATAACAATTCATGAGTGCATCTTGTTAGGGCATGATGTTACATTCCTTCTTTTAAACTTAATGTCTTACATCCTTCTCGTAAATTATTCATTAATTTCACTCAAAGGACTGTAATTATCAAATTTTATAACACTGCCCAAATTTTATCATTACGATCGCCAGCACGATGTAGCCAATAAGTACTAATTGTCAATATATTTGTATTAACTTACGTGGCTCTTTGAAAATCATTTGCAGTCTTCCTAAAATGAGATAATAGCTGTTATTTCGTGGGTGTAAAGTTCAATTTCGCCTGTTGACATTGCCGGTCATAAATCTAAATGCAAGTACTAAGGGGCGATCAAATTAAGTGCGTACGTCTGTTTGTAAATAAAACATTTAATTGTATAATTGGTTCGGGTCCATTGGTATTATAAAGGATCGTTTTGTTCTACAACTTTCGTTCCCAACTGCGTTTACGCACGGCATGCGATTATCGCTCGTGAATTTTTCATTCCAAATGTCATATTCATCTTCACACATACCAGAAATTAACAAAAAGCAATCTACTCACTGGTACATCAGTATCAATAATAATTTATATATACTTTTACGAATTAATCCATGAAAGTTGGGCGGGCAGGGAATATCTAAAGTTTCATGGTAACCACTAGTGTGCAAGTTTAGAACAATACGTATTCAATCGGATACAGCCACACCAATGTGAAGTAGAAGAAAGAAGAATAGAGTATTATATTTATGTCCTAATTCTTTCTTAAGAGTAGCGTTCTTCTTTCTTGTTAGTAGCGTTGACCATTTTCCGTTAATAGGGGTCGCTGAAGTGCAGCCGAGCGGACTGTGCCATCGTTTCTTCTTTGTTTACCAGTTACGTTTTTCATACTGAATCTGACCTCTTCCGGTGAAGCTGTCAAAACCCTTCGCTAACAACTGTACACAAAAAGTATGTCTGTACTTATGTAATCAATAAAAAGTTATACTTGTTTATCGTAACAAAAGATAAATAACTAAAAATGTTTTCATCTGTGCCAGTACTCTTTGTTTGTGAAAAAGAGATTAAATGCAATTGATAACGGTTTAGTAAGATAACTTAGATAGAATTATAGGTAAATGTGAAAAAGTTGTTATTAGTTGCCATGCTGATACCTTGTTGACTTTAAACGAGTGCGACAAATATAGTTTATAGGGGCGTTTCGTTTCGCTGATAGCTTTTGCGTTTATTAAGTTGTTTCGTAACGTTAGCCAATTACTTGTCATGACCGGCTTAATTTGTCGTATTAAAACTTCACTAGGTTGACATAAATACATGATACACCACACCAGGCGTTTGTCTGCGATTTTGCGTGGATTATCAATCGGATTTGACATCTGAACTAATGTTTTTAATTTTATGTCCTTACTATTTGTTAATTTACGCCTTTTTGGTTGGAATCTCACGATCCAACACTTAAAATACCACGGTGAACACTTATAGACTTTTGCTGACGTGGAGAAATGTGTACCATGCATTCCTGTCATTTGCACCGCAATATTTTCATTTGACACGTTTGGGAGGATAATCTGTGATGTGTTGAATTATGTAAACGCTTTGTCGTTGAAGTTTAAAAACTTTCTGTACATAGTAAAACATATTATAAATAAGTTTTTCCAAAACGCCTATAAAATATGTACATTTTCGAATCACAAAGCTACAATTAATTCATTCGCATTAAGGTTAACTGTGATAGGGCCTCGTAACAGACTGTTGCGCGGATAGGCAAGTCCGTCCACGGAAGTACCACGACCTCACAGAAGATCGGCGTGAAGTGGAAGCGATATACTTCCGCATTTCGTCTGGTGAGAGAATTAGCCAGGGCCCACTTTATTAGAAGGTTGCAACGCTGCTGTAACCCTACGGGTGTTGCAAATGTCAATGGGCGGCGGTTATCACTTAACATCAGGTGAACCGCCAGCTCGCCACCATCTCACATAAAAAAATCTCTAATGCAGTAAACATCACAACTTTTCCCGTTAAGAAATTCCCTTACGAGCTATTCTATAGTTTCGAGCTACATCTAATAACAAGGTGTTTCTCGTTAGTTTGCATAGAATGGGGATTGGGTCCGCGCGTCCTGGAATAGTTCAGCGGCGCTTGACATTAAAG